TTTACTTTACGTAAAATCTCAACAATTTGCAAAAATCTCACAAAGATTAAAATTATTTGCCTTTTAAAAAGCACACACATCCTAAAGAGGGCAGAAAGGATCATTTTCTCATGAGTGGGTCTTCGCTCCATATTTTTGAATGTTTTTTGGAGCATGCAGATCTATTCCCATGTAACTACAATCCCTATTGTCACTGAACTTGCAATGAGGAAGCAGCTTACCAGATTTGCTTCAGATGCTGGGTCTAACATACAAGATTTTGAACATGAGTTAAAAATTTTGGAGCAGGTACATTCTTTAAGTATTAATGAAAGGACTTAGTATCCAAACTTGCAAGACTGAATATAGATGATGCATCATGGGATACTCAATACAGGCTAGACCTGACCTACATTTCTAGACAAGTGACCAGTTAAAGGTTTTGAATAGGTCCATTGCAAATTAACTATAAATAAACCCTACCTTAACCACACTTGTATGATGGATGCACCTACATATGTAGGGATGCACATTAACCAGATATGCATCAGATGCAGCATCTGACTTATCTGGATGAACTGATCTACATTTTCCTGGTAACCAAAACAAAATTTTTTAGCAGAACCATTCCCAAGAAACTATAAAACTTACAAAGACAAAACTTGTATGCGTGGATTTACACCTATAGAATAACCCATGCACATATATCAGAACATTCTTGTTATTAGTGTGAGACTTTGACGGAAGTTAGATGACATTCATGGAGATGACATATTTAAATTGTTTATATTTAAAATTAGTTCATGAGATAATTGGATGCATGGTTTAAATATTTATAATTCAGTCCTTGGCAGAAGTTGGGTTGGATGTGGTTAGTAGTGGTGGTGGTGAGAATATTCTAGATCATCAATTAACCTAAATTCATACAAACACCTGTATTCTTTAAATGTAGTATTTAGTATGTTAAAATCCATAAGCCAATTCATAATTAAACTAGTAAGTAAATCATCCATAACACAGAGTCAAATATCAGGCATCTAATAAAGTACTGTTTATTTTCAGTTTCCTACTTAATATTTGAAATCTTCTCTCCGCTCTTTTTGCCGGGACCTCATTGTTGGAGATGGTGGAATAAAAACTTGGAGGCAGCTGGGCATATTGGATTGGAACAGCATCCCAACAACGCTGGAATGGAGGTATCTCTTAGTCATCAAGAAATAGCAGAGGTAAGATTGTTTCATTATTATTTTGGCACCTCTACTAAGTACTAACATTTCCCTTCCCTTCCCCTCTCTCAGCACATCTTTTTGTACAGTAGTAGTTTTTTGTTGTGTTGTGTTGTTTTTGATTTGTCTAATCTTCTCTGTTTTCTCTTTGCCGGGACCTCATCGTTGGAGATGGTGGAATAAGGACTTGGAGGCGGCTGGGCACATTGGATTGGAACAGCATCCCAACAACGCTGGAATGGAGGTATTTCTTAGTCATTAAGAAATAGCAGAGGTAAGATCGTTTCATTATTATTTTGGCACCCCTACTAAGTACTAACATTTCCCTTCCCTTCCCCCACTCTCAGCACATCTTTTGTACAGTAATAGTTTTTTGTTGTCTTGTGTTGTTTTTGATTTGTCTAATCTTCTTTGTTTTCTCTTTGCCGGGACCTCATCGTTGGAGATGGTGGAATAAGGACTTGGAGGCGGCTGGGCACGTTGGATTGGAACAGCATCCCAACAACGCTGGAATGGAGGTATTTCTTAGTCATTAAGAAATAGCAGAGGTAAGATCGTTTCATTATTATTTTGGCACCCCTACTAAGTACTAACATTTCCCTTCCCTCCCCCACTCTCAGCACATCTTTTGTACAGTAATAGTTTTTTGTTGTCTTGTGTTGTTTTTGATTTGTCTAATCTTCTTTGTTTTCTCTTTGCCGGGACCTCATCGTTGGAGATGGTGGAATAAGGACTTGGAGGCGGCTGGGCACATTGGATTGGAACAGCATCCCAACAACGCTGGAATGGAGGTATTTCTTAGTCATTAAGAAATAGCAGAGGTAAGATCGTTTCATTATTATTTTGGCACCCCTACTAAGTACTAACATTTCCCTTCCCTCCCCCACTCTCAGCACATCTTTTGTACAGTAATAGTTTTTTGTTGTCTTGTGTTGTTTTTGATTTGTCTAATCTTCTTTGTTTTCTCTTTGCCGGGACCTCATCGTTGGAGATGGTGGAATAAGGACTTGGAGGCGGCTGGGCACGTTGGATTGGAACAGCATCCCAACAACGCTGGAATGGAGGTATTTCTTAGTCATTAAGAAATAGCAGAGGTAAGATCGTTTCATTATTATTTTGGCACCCCTACTAAGTACTAACATTTCCCTTCCTTTCCCCCACTCTCAGCACATCTTTTGTACAGTAATAGTTTTTTGTTGTCTTGTGTTGTTTTTGATTTGTCTAATCTTCTTTGTTTTCTCTTTGCCGGGACCTCATCGTTGGAGATGGTGGAATAAGGACTTGGAGGCGGCTGGGCACATTGGATTGGAACAGCATCCCAACAACGCTGGAATGGAGGTATTTCTTAGTCATTAAGAAATAGCAGAGGTAAGATCGTTTCATTATTATTTTGGCACCCCTACTAAGTACTAACATTTCCCTTCCCTCCCCCACTCTCAGCACATCTTTTGTACAGTAATAGTTTTTTGTTGTCTTGTGTTGTTTTTGATTTGTCTAATCTTCTCTGTTTTCTCTTTGCCGGGACCTCATCGTTGGAGATGGTGGAATAAGGACTTGGAGGCGGCTGGGCACATTGGATTGGAACAGCATCCCAACAACGCTGGAATGGAGGTATTTCTTAGTCATTAAGAAATAGCAGAGGTAAGATCGTTTCATTATTATTTTGGCACCCCTACTAAGTACTAACATTTCCCTTCCCTCCCCCACTCTCAGCACATCTTTTGTACAGTAATAGTTTTTTGTTGTCTTGTGTTGTTTTTGATTTGTCTAATCTTCTCTGTTTTCTCTTTGCCGGGACCTCATCGCTGGAGATGGTGGAATAAGGACTTGGAGGCGGCTGGGCACATTGGATTGGAACAGCATCCCAACAACGCTGGAATGGAGGTATTTCTTAGTCATTAAGAAATAGCAGAGGTAAGATCGTTTCATTATTATTTTGGCACCCCTACTAAGTACTAACATTTCCCTTCCCTCCCCCACTCTCAGCACATCTTTTGTACAGTAATAGATTTTTGTTGTCTTGTGTTGTTTTTGATTTGTCTAATCTTCTTTGTTTTCTCTTTGCCGGGACCTCATCGTTGGAGATGGTGGAATAAGGACTTGGAGGCGGCTGAGCACATTGGATTGGAACAGCATCCCAACAACGCTGGAATGGAGGTATTTCTTAGTCATTAAGAAATAGCAGAGGTAAGATCGTTTCAGTATTATTTTGGCACCCCTACTAAGTACTAACATTTCCCTTCCCTCCCCCACTCTCAGCACATCTTTTGTACAGTAATAGATTTTTGTTGTCTTGTGTTGTTTTTGATTTGTCTAATCTTCTTTGTTTTCTCTTTGCCGGGACCTCATCGTTGGAGATGGTGGAATAAGGACTTGGAGGCGGCTGGGCACATTGGATTGGAACAGCATCCCAACAACGCTGGATGGAGGTATTTCTTAGTCATTAAGAAATAGCAGAGGTAAGATCGTTTCAGTATTATTTTGGCACCCCTACTAAGTACTAACATTTCCCTTCCCTCCCCCACTCTCAGCACATCTTTTGTACAGTAATAGTTTTTTGTTATGTTGTGTTGTTTTTGATTTGTCTAATCTTCTCTGTTTTCTCTTTGCCGGGACCTCATCGTTGGAGATGGTGGAATAAGGACTTGGAGGCGGCTGGGCATATTGGATTGGAACAGCATGCCAACAACGCTGGAATGGATGTTTTTGTTATGTTGTTTTGTTTTTATTATGTTAATGTTAGGTTGTTTTGTTATCTTAGTTATTTGTTATAGTTCTTGCTTTGTTACTGTTGTTAGTTGTAAGTTATTTGTTTATTTTTAGATAATATTATTTATCTAATGTTTATTTTGTTTGTTTTGTTCATTATATTAGTTATTTGTTACATGACATAATGTGTTACATTATGTTTTTTGTTAGACATTTGTTAATTCAAGTTTTGTTTGTACTTTGTTATGTTGATTTGGTAAGTTAAGTATTTTGTTATAATTGTTATTAGTATAATATTTTTGTTGTTGTTATGATTATGTTATTTGTTACTGTTATGAGTTTTAGTTATTTGTTTTTGTTATGAGTGCTAGTTATTTGTTATTGGTATATCAGTATTAGGTATTTGTTATTGGTGTGTTGTTATGGGTTTAAGCTATTTGTTATCATTATGAGTTTTACTTATTTGTTATTGTTATGAGTTTAAGTGATTTGTTATTGTTATGAGTTTTAGTTATTTGTTATTTCTATGAGTTTAAGTTATTTGTTATTTTTATGAGTTTTAGTTATTTGTTATTGTTATGTCAGTATTATTTTGGTATTTTTTATTGGTATGTAAGTATTAGGTATTTGTTATTGATATGTCAGTATTAGTTATTTGTTATTGGTATATATATCAGTATTAGTTATTTGTTGATTGTATCAGTATTAAGCATGTTTCTAATGTTCTTTGTTGTATTTTGCAGTGATATTTACATTTCAGTTCTGATTGAAAAAGACAACAGGAGATGGTGGAAATGGAATATGCATGTCTGATGGACAATCAATCTCCAAGATGTGGAAACAGCAGCTGCACTCAACAGAACTTGGTAAAACCAACTGGAGGAACAAGTTTGATGGATGTTGACCTTCCAAGATGTGGAAACAGCAGCTGGAACCAACAGGACTTGGTGGAAACAACTGGAGGAGACATGCCTGATGGATGTTGACTTTCCAAGATGTGGAAACAGCAGCTGGAACCAACAGGACTTGGTGGAAACAACTGGAGGAGACGTGCCTGATGGACGTTGACTTTCCAGGATGTGGAAACAGCAGCTGGAACCAACAGGACTTGGTGGAAACAAATGGAGGAGACAAGCCTGATGGATGTTTCCCCCCCCCCCCCCCTTTCAAGACATTTCACAGCAGATAACTGACACTGATCAGGTATGTGACATAATCATGATCCAAGATTACTAGGAATTCCAAAAAACTTTGCTATATCTGTGAATCCACTATATCCATGTACATACTAAACGAGTTTTACTGAACACAGCATTTAATGCGAATTAGCTTTGCTTAGCATTCACATGGAGCTAATGCAAAATAATTTGATAGGCAGTTGATTTGAATTAAAATAATTCACATTAAATTTTCCAAGTGAATGTGGTTCAAGTTGAATTCGCAGTAACTTGCATTCAATTGGAATTAAACCATCTATGTGAACAGGGCATAAATTGTGTAGCTTCTGTCAGACATGTGAGGAAACAATTTTTCATATTATTTCATGTGGGCCGGATTCCCACAGTGGGAATGCCAGAGGGTTCAGGAACATATAATTTCTGTTAAGCTTATAATCAGGTCGAGTACACTACCTTTTATGGAAGGTATTCTTAATCACGTGACGATATTTTCGTCAAACCCATTCTCCAATCAATTGAATGTGTTACAGTGCAAAGCATGACAGTCTACTATGTGTTTACTATTAAACAGCTACATGTGGTTTTTGTCATTATAGTGCATAATATTTACTTGGTCACTGGAAAAACTGTACATCTTTTTCATTTTCTATGGCTGAAATTGAAAGATTATATATATCAAAGACAATGTTCCAAGCTCACATTGAATATTGAAGATGTATTAGATTAATAGTTAAGTCAAATACTGTCTAAACTCTTTGATATATGCATACATTGAATATGTTTTGAAAATAATGAAAACAAAAATTGCGCACTGCATGGTGTACTGATGTTTAAGATCTAAGAAAAATATTTTAAATACAAGTTATATACTTCTGACATACATGGATAGATATATGTAGATACACAATTATGCATTCAATGACAGAATTCACACTCCTGAAAATATCAAAAAATCCTGTCCCACTCGTGAAATAAATTCCATATTCATCTACAAAACATTGAATATCCTCTATATATATACCCTGACTTTGGGAATTACCTTACTTTTACTTTCATTTTCAGATGTTTTTGCGAACATGTGAATTTTGCTGGAAAACGAATCTGACATGCCATATTTGTGCACCTTGAGATTTTAATCAGTTAAAGAAAATTTGATGAGCTTTCATTTAAGGGGTGTCCCATCCTTCAATGAAAATAATGGGAGAAGCTGTGTAAGAAAACATTAACATTGTTACCTAATATGGGAAATGAATTTGTGGACTGTACCCAGACTAATGGATATGTTGACCCTCTAAGATGTGAAAATGAGCTTAATTCTACACCAGACAGGAATTGGTGGAAAAACCTGGAAAAGGATGTTGACTTTCTAAGATGTGGAAATGAACAGCCACAGTCAGACAGGAATTGGTGGAAGCAACTAGAAAAGACGAGACTGATGGATGATGACCTCCCCAACAGCAAGACTTTTCCCCATGGAGAACTGTCACTGATCAGGTATGTGACATAATCAATGATCCAACATCTTTTTTTGAAAAAGTACAACAAAAAGATATCTTAGAGCTATATAATATTTAACTTAGATATTCTTTTATTAATTTCTGTTTATACTTAGATAGATGCTGAAGTATTAACTTCTATGTTATAGTGTGCTTTGATGACAATACCCAGTAGGAGACTCAGATAAAGTCATGTGGATGTGCTTGACATTATGAATGACAAGGAGCCCTCAGGTATGGAAATAAGCCACCCAAGTATGCCATTCTGTAAGACTCTGTTCTTCATTTTACTTCATTGATCCTATTGGTTAATTACCTTTTTTTCTCATTCATTGACAGAAAATAAAAGTATTGAAGAGGCATATCCTTGTGATCGCATGTGGACAAAGACAAAGATAGATGACCATGTAGAAAGCCAGATTATTTTGCACACACAAGCACATCCAGTTTACAATGTTATAATCCAAAACAATTTTTTTTTTGAAACATTTGTTTTGGAAATGGGTGTCTGAGTTGTAAGAGGGTATGGGGTCGCCCACTCAGACACGTGGGTTTTCTCCGGGGGCTCCGGTTTCCTCCCACACTGACCCCATTCTTTTTCTCTGTGCCAATGTAAATATATTTTATTATCTATTGTTTTGCTCTAATGTTATTTTATGTAGTTTGTTATATTTTATATTATAAAATGTTTAGATGAAGTAGTTGAAAGCTAGTTGTAAGTAGACCTTGTCGATACCCTGGGGCATTACTGGTTGGAACTTCGTGGATCCTTGGCCGCTACGGTTGCCAGGCTGGCCTGGGGAGGAGAGGTTGAAAACGCAACTAGTTGTAGGCTGCTTTGTCTTTAATAATCTGTTTTCATTTTATCTAAAATCAAAAAATCATATATGTTGCAGAAATAATGATTGTTAAATATTAAATTAGTATTCCTGGAATGTACAAATTCTGTCAGCTACTGTACCAGTAATAATTTGTATAGTCAATTCCGATTATCAGCTTATTGTGAAATTGAATGCATTATATACTGTCTAAATCTTCAGTAAAAGTAACTGATTATAAATTTTGATGTGAAATTATGATTTGTATTCAATAATGTAAAGTAATGGGATTTGAACATGTTAAATTGTGATCTGTGAATGTTAAATTGTGATTTTTGAATGTCAAATTGTGATTTGTTTATGTAAAAGTGATTTGTGAATGTTTGTGAATTTAATGTCTGATTTCATTGTGCAAAAAAAAGAAAAGAAAACAAACAATCAAAAAAAAGCCAGGAAAAAAAAACAAGAAAAGACAAAAAAAAAAAGAAAAAAAAGAAAAACATAGTAACCAAAAAAAAACAAAACAAAAAAACAAAAAACAAAAGAACAAAAAAAAAAACCCAAAAAAAACAAAAAAACAAAAACAAAAAACAAAAACAAAAAAAACAAAAAAAAAAAAAAAAAAGAAACAAAGAAAACAGATTTGAAAGAAAAAAATATATATAAAGGAGCAAAACAAAAAGGCACAAAACTTTTAATGCTGCCTGCTTGAATGAACATATTTGCATGTTTTTTCAAGCAGAAGGTTCCAAGCCCTTAAAAGCAGAGGAGAAGTTTTGGTATCTTATGTATATTGACATTACTGAATGTATGCCAAAGAAGATGTGCAGACAATGGCAAGCAGAATACCTATGGTGCAGTTCAAACATGAAGGTAAAAAATAAAATCTCAATTTATTTATAACAAAATTTTCTTTGATTTTCATCTAACATAGTATACTTTATGTAAAATCTCTGCAATTTGCAAAAAATCTCACAAAGATTGAAATTATTTGCTTATAAAATAGCATACACACACTAAAGAGGGCAAAAAGGATCATTATCTGATACTATATTACACAACTTTTCGATATGAATGGGTCTTTGCTTCATTTTTTTGAAAGTTTATCCTCAAAGTTTGCGTTAAACTAAACATTTTTTGGTGAACAAAAACATGGAGAAAAGACCCACCATCTCTTAAAAATACACTTTTATGACACAACATTTGTATCTTTCCGAGAAATATTTAGAGACCATTTAGTCAAGAGTCATATCACAAACATGATCTAAATGCTGCTATTCATCAGGAGTTGTGTAGCGTAGTGGTTATCAAAGGAAATTGATACTTAGGATTTTTATTGCTAGGATTAGAAACCCACGAATACCATGCTATTTTTTTTATGGAATTCCATATACAACAGCCAACTGCTCACTGCTTCTTTTTATATTCACATTATTATGCCTTTTTTGGCATTGCATTTGCAGGAAAATAATGCAATAGCTTTTTTTAATGGGGGGGGGGGGGGTAACATTTGTTGATATATGTATTTATATGAAAAATACTTTTGAAAATTATATTACAAGGCATTTTACTATATTTAAAAACAATTTAATTCTGGTTATAACACGGTATTTGATTGGATAAAAATTTACTTTATATCGTATAATATGGGTTGCCTGCGTCACAATTACTTGAGTGAAAAACGTATCGATCTGCCTGATGTTACATTAAAATTTTATACAATTTGATGTCACTTTTTAAGGGCAATAATTTTTTTTTCTAACACTGAATGAAAATTAAATTATAAGGAATGAATTTAAAAGCTATCCAATTTATATGGTATAAACTGGGTTGGAACAGTTTATGCTTTTCTAGAAACCTCTTCGCGGTTTATTAAGCGTAAACTATTCCAACCCAGTTTATACTGTATAGTTTATGGGAGGGACAACCCAGCCAATAATTAACAAGAGGCCCATGGGCCACATCGCTCACCTGAGCACATTAGGCTAGGCAAAAGCACAAATCAGTTCAGTATTGAAAAGATTTCGGGGGGGGGGGGGTTGAATTTTAAGGTAGTATGGGATACCTCTACGTTATGACGTATTTCCGTTTGAAGTATTGTTTTGATTTGCATGAGTGCTTATTATCGGGTCAAAATTTGTAGATACACCGTTGAAAAGAACACTCTGAAGCCTATTTCAATGCAAGTTCTCACAAGTCGGCATTTTTAGTAAAAACAGACAAAAAAATCGCAAGTATATAAATTTACTTATAATTGTACAACGGACATTTAAAAAAGCAAACCCCTGTAAAAGGTAGTTTCAACATTGCTGCTTTTGAACACTTTTAAGCAAAAGCTGTATTTCAATTGTTTGAGTAACTGTACAGCACCTTGTGTGCGGTGAGACATGGATAAGTGCGATTACTTCACATTGTGCTGAATTATCACCAATCAATTATCACGTTAACCAGAGCTGGACTTTTTTGTTATTTAATTCAAGAAGTAACTGTTTGGTCACAAATCAGCTAGCTGTTGTATATAGTCCCAAAACGTTCAGATGAATGCAATTGCTCTGAACAAGACACGTCCTGGAGAGCGATTGTCCATGCATTGTTTTCAAAACTGCTCAAAGTTGAAAACTACAAAGTGCGATTTTTTTATGGTTGGGAAAAAATGCTCATCATTTCTAAGATAGCACCCAGGTTTTTTCAACCCTTGGAAAATAAAGGAGGATAACTCTTCCGCTCGGATCTTTTAATTCAAAAAATTTTAAATGCATTTTATATTTTCCATTTATATATATATTTTCAATTTGTTTATTTCACTTTGCTAACATATTAAGATACATTCTTATTGTAGACTTTCATGAAATGTTATCCGTCTGTTTTCAAGAAATAAAGTTTTCCCAGTTTTTTACGCTTATTTTTTGTTGAAAGTTAAAAAAATACTCAGACATATTTCTTGTCATTTTTGTTTTTATAAACACTTTATATTAGCAAACGCCTGTCTATAATATTAAGCTTATGAAAAAAGAATTATGCAAGAAAAAAAAATCGTTTTTGTATTTCTCATTAAAATAATAAAAAAATTATTAAAATTACACTTTAATATACTGAAAGGTGGGGGTATTTCAAATCTTTCTAATTTGGGTACATAAATATGTAGGAGAAGTTTCGTTTGGTATCCCATACCACCTTAAACTACCTGATGATGCTTCTATGTCAATATAACAAATGGCTTTGATTATAAAAAAAAATGCTTCTATGTCAATATAACAAATGGTTAAGATTATAAAAAAAATTTCCCATATATTCCTTTGTTAAAATTTGATCCCCATTGTGGCTCCTCCCTATCCCAGGGGTCATCATTTGAACAAACTTGAATCTACACTACCTGAGGATGCTTCCATATCAATATGACTAAACAGAGCTTTTCTGAGAAGAAATATTTTTTCTATATGTTCTTATGTAAAACTTTCAACCCCCCATTGGGCCCCACCGTACCCCCGGGGGTCATTATTTGAACAAAATTGAATTTACACTACCTGAGGATGCTATCATATCAAAATGACTAAACATGATTTTCAGTTCTTGAGAAGAGGGTATTTTTCTATATGTTCCTATGTAAAATTTTCCTATTTTATATGCTTCCATATAAATATGTCTCATTATGGCTTTGCTGTTCTTGAGAAGAAGATTTTTCCTATAATATTTCTATTTATAAGCTTTGATCCTCCATTGTGGCCCCACCCTACCCCCGGGGGTCATGATTTGAACAAACTTGAATCTACACTATCTGAGGATGCTTCCATATAAATATGACTCATCATGGCTTTGCTGTTCTTGAGAAGAAGATTTTTAAAGGTTTTTCCTCTATATTTCTATGTAAAACTTTGATCCTCCATTGTGGCCCTGCCCTACACCCGGGGGTCATGATTTGAACAAACTTGAATCTACACTACTTGAGGATGCTTCCACATGAGTTACATCTTTCCTGGCCCTGTGGTTCTTGAGAAGAAGATTTTAAAAAGATGCTATTAATTTTTCACTAATTCTTTATCATCTCCCCTTGAAAAGGGGCCCTTCATTTGAACAAACTTAAATCCCTTTGACCCAAGGATACTTTGTGGCAAGTTTGGTTGAAATTGGCCCAGTGGTTCTTGAGAAGAAGTCGAAAATGTTAAAAGTTTACAGACAGACGGACGCCGGACAAAAAGTGATCAGAAAAGCTCACTTGAGCCTTCAGCTCAGGTGAGCTAAAAAGGTCACAGGCGTCATTATTGAGGGAGCATAACTGTAAAAACCCTAGTGCCCCCCCCCCCCTTCTCTCCACAGCCACCACCACCAATGTTTCTACAGACCTAACATTATCCATTAATTTGATTTAAATACAACACATATAAAAATCTCAATTACATGTACTTTTCATTTAGGGTAAAAAGAAACACTAAAAGATATTACATGTTTTACCCTTGGCAAAAGTTATGTTATTATGAGTTTTGTAAAATTTCTAGTATAAATACAATAATACATATACCAAAAATGTAACACCCAAGACCCTGCTGAAAGTTTGTTCTTTTGTCATATGTGAAACCCCCATCCCCCACCCCCACTCGTCAAACTCGTTTTGTGTATTATGTGTTTTTCTAGGTGTGTATGAATACATTCATTAAAATAAAAAACAAAAACCTCTGAAATTACACGTATCACTGTATTCAAAAGAGTCTTTTATATAATCTTTTATATCTTATATTTTTACCCCCCCCCCCCATTCCCCTACCTGAAACAACAAAACCATTGGTCAGGTATGAATTTGTGAAATAAAATTGTTTCACTGGAGGGGGTGGGGGGGGGGGTTAAAAAATATTTTTCATTTCCATTGATTTCTATAGTGAAAAAAAAACACACACAATTTTACCAAAATTATAAACTTATCTCCTTTTGTTTTCCCAAATAAGTTATGTTTTATGATGAAATTTTACATAAATATCTATATGAATATGAAAAATCATTCAAATATGTTAACATTTTAAATTTATTCGGAGATTATGGCGGCAGAATATAACCATCGTTTGCAGTGATATGATTTATTCAAGCATGGGCATTAAAGTATTAAGAAAACAAAATAGGCAATATCATCTATAAGCAGTGACAGTTGGCAGTAAGCAGTTGACAGTTG